ACAGGGCCCCCGTGATGAGTTCAGAAGCTGCAGGGAGCTCACTGCAAGGGCCACAGCCCCCGTATTCAGAGTTTGTGCCATTCACAGTCAATGTGGGGACGCCTCTGCCAGGAAGGGTGAGGGTTTCCTGTACTGCACGGTGCAGTACCGACTGGCACCACTAGGGGTATCCCAGCTATCCCAAGGGGGCACTTCGGGAGCTGCAGGATGTGCGGGCAGCTCGGTGGGGCCGAGTTGAGGGGCGCCTGCCTGTGCCCCCTGCAGCCCTCCCCCCACTTGCTTTGGGCACCAGCTGCCCCTGCCCCCGCCCCATGGCTACGGGTGCTGCGTTTCCCTTACCCGGCGCGGGGCTGCTCTCCAGCTCGCATGGGCCGGGGATCTCGGTGTCCGCGTCCTCTGGGTCACACGACTTGCTGTCCTCGGCCTCCTCTTCGGAGCTGTCCCCCTCCTCGGCCGCCTCCTCGTCCTCCAGCCCGCTGCCGGCCTCCAGGTGGGACTGCACGATGCGCTGCATGGCTGGAACGCACAAGGAGCACAGGCTGTCGCACGAGGGGGGGTACAAGAGCCAGCGGGCAATGCCAGGTGCCCGAGAGGGAGTGAACAGAACAGGGAACCATCCAGTGATTCCTCCCCTGTCGCCCGTTCCCAACTTCTGGCAAACAGGCTAGTGACACCAGCCCTGCCCATCCTGGCTAATAGCCACTCATGGACCTAACCTCCATGAACTTACTTAGGTTTTTTTAATCCTTTCATAGTCTTGGCGTTCTCAACATCCTCCAGCAGGGAGTTCCACAGGTTAACTGTGCGCTGCGTGAAGAAATCCTTCCTTTTGTTTGTTTTAAACCTGCTGCCTATTCATTTCACTTGGTGACCTCTCCTTCTTGTGTTGTGGGAAGGAGTAAATAACGTTTCTTTATTCACTTTCTCCACACCGGTCGTGACTTTGTAGAGCGCTCTCCTAGCCCCCCTTCCATGTCTCTTTTCCAAGCTGGCAAGTCCCAGATTTATTAATCGCTCTTCATATGGCACCTGTCCCAAACCCCTGGTCATTTCTGTGGCCCTTTTCTAATCTTTTCCCCATGCCTTGAGATCCTTTTAAGTATCCTTATTTAGATGCCCCCAGGTGAGCTGAACTCAGCTGAAAGCCGGTTTTCGGACTTGCTGATCCTTCGGGAGCCCATTCAGTTGGGGAAAACTGACCTGACTGCAGGGGAAGGGGGCAGAACGTGATGCCCCACCCAGGACCCCGCTCAGATGTGGGGTTGGTTTTTTCCGACATAGTGTGTGGATTCAAGGTATATTTCACGGAAGAAAAATAAACAGATCGGGGTAGATGAAATGGGGGGAGGGGGGTTACTGGTAGGAATTGCCCCTGTATAAAACTATGGTACGCCCATATCTTGAATACTGTGTACAGATGTGGTCTCCACACCTCAAAAAAGATATTTTGGCCTTGGAAAGGGTTCAGAAAAGGGCAACTAACATGATTAGGGGTTTGGAACGGGTCCCATATGAGGAGAGGTTAAAGCGACAGGGACTTTTCAGTTTAGAAAAGAGGAGACTGAGGGGGGATATGATAGAGGTCTATAAAAGCATGAGTGGTGTGGAGAGGGCTGATAAAGAAAAGTTATTTATTAGTTCCCATAATAGAAGAACTAGAGGACACCAAATGAAATTAATGGGTAGCAGGTTTAAAACTAATAAAAGGAAGTTCTTCTTCACACAGCGCGTAGTCAACCTGTGGAACTCCTTGCCAGAGGAGACTGTGAAGGCTAGGACTATAACAGAGTTTAAAGAGAAGCTGGATAAATTCATGGAGGTTAGATCCATAAAAGGCTACTAGCCGGGGGATAAAATGGTGTCCTTGGCCTCTGTTTGTCAGAGGCTGGAGAGGGGTGGCAGGAGACAAATCGCTTGATCATTGTCTTCGGTCCACCCCCTCTGGGGCACCTGGTGCTGGCCACTGTCGGCAGACAGGCTCCTGGGCTAGAGGGACCTTTGGTCTGACCCAGTACAGCCGCTCGTTATGTTCTTATGAATTGGAGGTGGCTGTAAACACAGCCAGGTAATAAACCACTGTCAACAGTGGATCACTGTCTCCCAAACAAGGCTGAGTGCATTCCTTGCTGAGGACTGCAGCCCTGCCACGGCGAAGAACAAAGGCAACGTTGTCTTTGTATGAGCGAAGTGCAGGGTACAAAGGATTGAAAAGAGGTGGCTGCAGGCTGGCAGGAACAGGGGTCTGAACAAGGCACGTGCTCCCCACAGCCCTGCCCAGAGGGAGAATCAGGGCGTGGGGCTAAAAGGGGTGAAAAAAGGGGGCAGGACTCCTGCGTTCACTCCCTGGCTGTTGTCTGGGGCAGGAGTCGGGTTTCTTGCTTCGGAACTGCGGGCGGGAGTGTGGTATAGTGGTTAGAGCAGGGACCGCCTGGCAGTCAGGACTGTGGAGTTCTGTTCCTGGCGGGGAGAGGGAATCCGGTCTAGTGGTTGGATCCCGGGGGTGACAGGAACTGGATTTTGTTCCGGACTCTGCGGGGGGGGGGGGTTTCTTGGCTGGTCAGTGTCGGCATCTCAGCCCCTGCCCCTCCTGCCCAGGTAGTGCTGATTTCTTTGGCGACCCGACCCTAGGAGCCAAATCCCAGCAGACCTGGGCAGAATGAGACCGGGTCCCTTTCCCACGCTGGTTGGCTTGTTCCGCCCACAACCAGGACTGATCGCAAGGGCCTCCCTGCTGGATTCGGAGGGAGGGGGGCAGAGAGCCCCATGCTGGGCCACCCCTCAGCCCCTGCCGGCTCCTGGGCAGCTCAGCCAGCAGGCCAGGCCCTGCCACGAGGGGAGGCAGGCGGTGGGCGGGCGGGGCTGCCCTGTGTGGGCTGGGATGCCCCATGGCCACTCAGGGACAGACCGGCACAGCACCTGCTCTCCAAAGGGCCAGGCCGTACCCACAGCTCCTGAGCTCAGGGGCCACGGGCAGAGCACAATGTGCCTCCCCCATCCAGGAGCCTGCTCTGGCCCCGGACAGAGTTAGAGGGGCCCCAAATTGACCCCTCCCCCACTTACAATGGGGCGTCACGGCCACTGTGGATCAGCCAGGGGAGGAGGGGGCTTGGGAACGCCCCGGCCATACCTCCTCCTGCCCCGTGCTGCTCCCGGCACTGGCTGCGGAAAGGGGGCGATTCTTGGAGCAGGGGGCTTCCGAAGCTGAACAACTGGCCCTTGGGCGGGTCGCTTGAAAGGCAGACGGGTGCCAAACTGCCGGGGGAGGGGGAGGACAAGTCAGGAGGGACTAGGAGCCAGGCGAGAGGGTCCAATTGTCCCTTCCGGGTCCACGCTGTGGTGTATCCCACCACGTTCTGGGTCCCTCTGGCCCCGGCTGGCTGCGCCCGCTGACCCGGGCTGGGGGCTCGAACATTCCAGTAGCGGGAGGGTCTCCGCGCTGCTATTTTCAGCACCACAGACCACGCCCTGCGAGCATATGAGAGACGGGGGAGCCGTTGCCTTCCCAAACCCCCAGCCTGGCCCACCCAGACTCCGCTCCCCAAAACGCCTGCTGCAGGCATTCTGGGGGCGGAGTGTTGCTGCCCCCCGCACCTGCCTCGCAGGCTCGAACATTCCAGTAGCGGGAGGGTCTCCGCGCTGCTATTTTCAGCACCACAGACCACGCCCTGCGAGCATATGAGAGACGGGGGAGCCGTTGCCTTCCCAAACCCCCAGCCTGGCCCACCCAGACTCCGCTCCCCAAAACGCCTGCTGCAGGCATTCTGGGGGCGGAGTGTTGCTGCCCCCCGCACCTGCCTCGCAGTGCT